TGCGAGCCGACCAGCGACATAGAGTCGGCAGGCAAGTCGGGGACACAGCACAAGCCGACCTGCAATGGGCAAACTCATGCAGGGATCGACCGCAACGATGTTTTAAACAACATAGCGTTTACAACGAAAAGCGAAAGGAAGCCCGACGTTTAAAACGAACGTTTAAAGCGAAGCCAGTGCTGAACGAAAACGAACGACGAAACGGGGCGGCTAAAACAACAACGAAAAACGAAACGAAACAACAACGAAAAACGGCACGAAAAACAAAACAAGGGCCCAAACCAAGCTGAACAGCGTTGTGGTCGGTCCTTGAACTCATGCAATAAACCGAGGCATGAACAACAAATCGACAAAGCAAATACCGTGCATGAGGATGCCAAAAAACACGATGAGCGACCAGGCAGCGGACAGGACTGGTACGCGAAAGGCGTGCCCATGCACACAAAAGCCTGGACGGGTTCCTTCCGACACGTCAGCACGATGACAGACTCGATGGCATAGTCGTGCGCCGGTAGGCTACTTCAAAGCCCGTGCAATGAAGCGTCCACCCACGGAGACGAGCTGTCCTGCGAGCGATGGCATGTGCAGACGGTCTCTGTGCGGCAGCAGGCTCAAAGTTAAGGCAGCGAGGCGCGAGACGGTCGCGCCGCAGATGAAAGCGAGCAAAATTTCGCCGGGCGGGCCAGGGACACCGCTCAGGCCGAGCTGTAAAAAGCAAACTCGTGCAACGGTGAGAACATCAAAACTAGATGCAACGATGACCTGTAAGAAGCAAACTCATGCAACGGTGACCTGTAAGAAGCAAACTCATGCACTTCGAGCCGAAGCCTGAACAACAAAACGATGAGAACTGCAAGCGATGGCGCATGTAAACAGTTACTGTGCGGCAGGGGGCTCAACGTTATATAAAGGAAGGCGGCGCGAGCAGAAGGCATCGCGAGTCAAAGAGTCGGCAGGCACGTCGGGGACACCGCACAAGCCGACCCGCAGGCAAGGCAAGCTCTTGCAGTGAGCCGTGGCCTGACCAACAAATCGACGAAGCAAAGGCTGTGCACGAGGGTGCCCCCGACACGATGAGCGACCAGGCAGCGGACAGGACTGGCACGCGAAAGGCGTGCCCATGCACACACACACACACACACACACACACACATGCGCACACGCATACGCACACGCATACGCACACACACACACACGCACACACACACACACACACACACACACACACACACACACACACACACACGCATACGCATACGCATACGCATACGCATACGCACACACACAAACACAGTGAGTCAGAGGTTGCAGGCGCGCAGAGCGGCAGACAGGCAGACAGTGGTGACGGGAAGGGCGAGGTGGAGAGCGAAAGGCGGGGGGGGAGCCAGGGAGAGGTCGGCGGCGCGCAGAAGGGGGTAGGGGGAGGGGGGAAGGCTTCTTAGAAGGAGGCTGCTTCTTCATAGGCGCCAGCCTTACACTCATAGATATGGCCCGCGCCTTCTAAGAAGCAGGGGTGCTTCTACGAAGCCTTCCCCCCATCCCGCTACGCCCCTCTGCGCGTGACCGAGAAAAAGTGCCACGAGCATGCAGCTGGCTGCCTTCGCAGGCTGCCCGCAGCAGAGTCTTGTCGGACTCATCAGCGCTGACGGTGACCTCCCCGAGGCAGAGCTGCCGCTCCTGGCCTCGCACGTCTCGGCGCCTCCAGCACTTCGGGGCTCTGCGGAACCGGGTCAGTGCAGACCCGGGTCAGTCAGGCTTCGCAGTACCCTGCAGGATCCTGCAGGATCCTGCAGGATTCTGCACGCAAGCCCAGGGCAGTGCAGCCCTGGCTCTGCAGGATCCTGCAAGACCCAGCGCCGTGGCTGACCCCCGTTTGCATGGACCCCCCCAGCCCTGGAGCCCCGAGCAGTGTCCTGCTCGACGCCTCTGGCCGCCTCCACCGTGCACGCCGGACACCACATCCGCTCTCTCGGGAGCGGCCAAGAGGGGGGTGTCCAAGCAAGAGGGGGGGGTGCAAATCATGACCGGCGGCATGTGCGCGGCCCAGCGGGAGGGCCAGGGACGTAATGAAATAAGAAGAGGCGCCATGAGATCTGGGGAAATATCATGGCCCACGCCATGATATCCACCCCCCCCCCTAGTCATCACCCCCCTCTTTTCCGCCCCCGACTCTCTTCGGACATCGGCGCCGCCCGGGAAGCACCCGGGCTGCAGAAGCTGCACGCTCGGCAGGAGAGGACGTGGCACGGGAGGGGGAGGAGGGGGAGGAGGAGGAGGAGGAGGAGGAGGAGGAGGAGGAGGAGGAGGAGGAGGAGGAGGAGGAGGAGGAGGAGGAGGAGCAGGAGCAGGAGGAGGAGGAGGAGGAGGAGCAGGAGGAGGAGGAGGAGGAGGGCGGGGGGGAAGGGGCGGAGGACGGCGGAGGGGGCGAGGGAGAGAGGAGATCTGGGTAGGGGGAGGGAGCGAGAGGACGGGGCAGGGGCAGGGGCAAGGGCAGGGAAGGGGGGGGGGAGGGGGGAGGAGGGAACGTAGGGGCGCCACCTGCGAAGCTCCCCTGAACCCCACCCTCCCCCTCAGAAATCGTGGGGAGTAGGGTTCGCATGTGCCCCCCTAGAACGGGCAGAGGGGGAGGCGGGCAGATGCCAAGGCCTGGTTGAAAGCGCCCAGGCTGCTGGACCGCAGCACGTCTACCGGCTTGAAGAAGTCCCATGCGGACAGGGCAACTTGCCGCGCGGGGAGGGGGGCGGTAATGCCGCCAGCAGAGAGGTATAGAAAGAGAGAGAGGGCAGGTTGAAGAATGACAGGCGATACGAGTAAAAGTAAAGAGCAGAAGGACGAGAAAGATAACGAAAGACAGAGGTAAGCAACGCGCGTGCGTACCGCAACATCCGGGACATCCGGCCACAACGCACTCGCTTCCACCAACCCCCAGCCCTCGTCCTCCGTTTTCTTTTCTCCTCCCCGTCATTGTCCCTTTCCTCGTCCTCCTCTCCGTCATCACCCACCCTCTACCCTCCACCTTCTCACCCTCAACCTTTCCGTGCCCCTGTTCCTCCTCCCCATTACCCTCATCATCATCCTCCTCTTCCTCCTTCTCCTCCTTCGTAATTGTGGTACAGTTGAGCGGATGGCGTGCGTACGATCCTGCTTTACTTCCTCTGTCGCTCTTTATCTCTCTCTCTGTCGCGTCATGTGTGTACGTGTATTTGCGCATATCCAACATATCCTTAAAAGTATCCCTTTCTCTCTTATCTGTCTCTCTCTCTCACTCTTATATGTCTCGCACTCTCTCTCTCGATCGCTCGCTCGCTCGCTCGCTCTCTCTCTCTCTCTCTCTCGATCGCTCGCTCGCTCGCTCGTTCGCTCGCTCTCTCTCTCTCTCTCTCGCTCTCCCTCTCTCTTTCTCCATATATGTGTGTACATCGCTGAAAGACATACCTACATATATATATATGTATATACATGCATGTCTACATATATGTATGTGATTGACTATTCATGCACAAACATAGACGCATACATACAAACATACATGCGAACATACAGACCGACATACATATCTACCAATCTCCATCCGTGCAACCTACCTAAATGCATACATAAATACATGCATGCACCCATAAATTCATACATATTGAATTCAGGTGTAAATTTACATATACATACATGTATGCATACACACATACATGCATACATACATACAAACAAACATACAGTCATTCATACATGCAGGCAGACAGACAGACATGAATACATGCATGCATGCATGCATGCGTGCGCGCATGCACGCAAGCACGCAAGCATGCATATGCATACATTCAGCTATGTTAGGTTCCATACATACATACATGCATGCATACATGCATGCATACATACACACATATATGCATGCATACATACATGCATACATACGTGCTTTCATGCATACATACATACAGACCGACCTACATGTATGCATACATACACACATGTATACATGAATGCACACATGCATACAAATATATATATATATATATGTGTGCATGCATGCATACTCACTGTACGTACATACATAAAATACATGCGTACGCACATGCATGCATGCATGCATACAGACAGACAGACAGATATGCAGGCATGCATGTATATGTGTATGCAATCTGTGTATGTATACACATACATACATAAATACATACATGCATACACATGCATGCAGACATACATACAGACAGGCAGGCAGACACGCATGCATGCATGCGTACATGTATGCTCTCACGTATACATGTGTATACATATATATATATATGTGTACGTACGTGCGTACATACATACATACATCTGCGGTCAAGAAGTCTTGCCGTCGACGATGTTCGCAAGTGCGAGGTCGGGGAACAAGTGGGTGTAGGGGATCCATCGGAGCCCAAAATCTGGCCAAAATCGGAGGGTTCCCCCGAAACACGGACTGCAACATTTCAATATGAATGACACCGATCGGAACTTCAGCAATCGTCTGTGTATCTACCTCTATATGTGTATATACATATACGTACAGATCTACAGGACACCGCCTCGATGAATTCTGGCAAGATTGTGCCTCTCAATATCTTCCCTGTTGCGTCGCTGTATTACTTCGCAGGCCAGACCACACCGGCAAACCAGCTGGCCGCAAGGAGCAGCTGGCGGCCGGAGAGTACAAGGGAGTGCCCTAAAGAGACCCTCAGCTGTGGCCACCATCGCTCATGCCCCCAGGAGGCTGTCAAGGAGGATAAGGAGAAGAGGAGGAGGAGGAGGAGGAGGAGAAGAAGGACAAGGAGGAGGAGGAGGAGAAGAGGAGGAAAAGAGGAGGAGAAGAGGAGAAGAGGAGGAGGAGGAGAAGAAGGACGAGGAAAGAGGAGGAGCAGCAGCGACAGCAGCAAGAGGAGGAGGGTCCCGCGCGACGCACGAGAGCCCAGACCTAGAAAAAACGCCCGCGTTTTCTCCGCCGCAGCGGCAATGCAATCTCTGCGCTGGAAGATACCCCCCGTTCAGACTGGTAGCGGTGGCTCTACCACTAACTCTGATCCTCCTCCTCCGGCGACGACGACGACAACGACGACGACGACGACGAACCTCCAACCCCTCGTCCTCTACTCCCCCTCGTCCCCACCTCCAACCCTCCTGCTGTCCTCATCCTCCTCCTCCCCCTTCCGATTCCTCAATTTCCTATTCCTCCTCATCCTCCTCCTCCTCCTCCTCCTCCTCCTCGTCCTCCTCCTTCTCCTTCTCCTCCTCATCCTCCTCCTTCCTCGCCAACAGGCTCAACATAACCGCGGCGCACTCCCGTGCGCCTTCGTCCTGTAAGCAGTACCCCCTCCACTCGTTGAAGGGAGACGCCAGGAAGCAGCCAAGTAGCACAGACCTCAGAGTGCCCCAGGGAAGGATAGCGGAGAAGGAACGGGAGGACGAAAAGAAGGAGGAGGAGGAGGAGGAGGAGGAGGAGAAGGAAAGGGAGGAGGAAAGGGAGGAGGAGGAGGAGGACGGCAAGTAGCAGCAGGAGGAAGGGGTGGGGAGAAGAGGAAATAGAGGAGGGCAGGGAGGGGATGGAAGGAGGACAGAAAAGAAGGGCGCGGCGGCGCACGATGGCAGTGTCGTAAAAAAGAAAGGGCAAAGAAGAGGGGAAGGATGGGCGGGCGGGAGGGGCAGCTGGACGAGTCGGACTGGGAGCAGGAGCTGGATCTGGAGCAGAGAAGAGAAGTACTGGAGGGAAACTTCACAGCTCCTCGGAGCTATCCGCTGGGAAGGCTACGAGTTTTCCACATCCGAGGCTCCAGGCACTGATGTCTCCCAATCGGCCACTGGGTTTCGATTGTCAGGCATCCCCCGAAGTTCAGACAGCCTTCATGGCCAGAGCCCTGATGAGGAGGAATTGCAATGGGTAGACCATGCTTCCTGAATCAAACTACTCTCACCATCATTGCCTGGTCGCCATCTGATATTGATTATACCGCCGATCGAACGCCCAGACGATCGGAGGTCTGATGTTCGCACAAAGCCAGCTAAGGCGCGTGCAGAAAAATGACGACTATGTCTGACTGACCTCCAATCCCTCCAGGAGCCATTGTGCTGGCTCACAAGTGCACTGCGGTGCTTCTCCCCCTCCTCATCATCATCCTCCTCCTCCTCCTCCTCCTCCTCCTCCTCCTCCTCCTTCTCCTCCCCCTCCTCCTCATGACTCTTGGGTTTACACTGGTCCTCCTCCTCATTCTCCTCCTCTTCCTCCTCCTCCTCCTCCCCCTCGCCCCACCCCCCATCCCTCTTCCTTAAAAACAATGTCCCCTCGTCGCACCACCAGGCGTGGTGGTAGGGCGGCCTCATTTTGTGTGATCCCGAAGCTGAAGGCTACCAACAGCGACCCGAATCGAAGGGCGAAAACTTGCAACACAAAACTCGCTCATTAGCGAGTCGCGCGTTCGCCTTAAAGGCATCCAACATTCAAGAAAATGGAAGGCGGGTCGTTCTCAGAATGTGATTCTCGCTTGCGCGCCTTGCACCGTCTTCTCTAAATATTCTGATAACCGCAGAGATGAAGGGCGGCTCCGTCTCGAAATTGGATTCCCGCCTCAGCCTCCCCCGAATCTTACTACGCGAAGAGTAGTGTGCTACGGATGCGAGGATGGAAGGCGGCGCCTTTCCAATGTAGGCTCTGGCTTGAGACTTCTTCAACATGCGCGGCGCGCCGTGCAACAATGTGTAAGGGCTACGAGGATGGAGGGCAGTTTCTTTTCAGATCGGAGGTCCCGCTGAACACGTGATGTGACTTTCTGGTGCGATTGCGATCATCAGGGCAGTTCCTCTCCAGAACGGTGCTCTCGCCTGAGTGGAAGGCCCGTGGCGTTCTCGAACTCCAGCGATGTGCTTCCCGCAACGACAACTTCACTCGTCGCAGCCCCCCAGGCATGGCGTGGTCCCGTTTGGGTGTGCGTGGGACACCATTGTGCTGCCCCCCCCCCCCCCCCCGCAGCCCTCGAGAGTGGCGACTCTTTCGCACCTCGCAGCACCCAAGGGAGAGCACGACGGCAAGGCATGCGACAGACCAGCCAGGCAGGACAGCGAGGCAGGAGGCGTGCAAGCAGGCAGGTGCAGGCAGGCGAAAGAGGGGAACAGGGGGCGGAGGGAGGAGAACGGAGGACCAGAGACCCCACTGCTCTATATTCAAAACGAGAACCCAACCAAGGGAGGGTTGGGAAGAGTTGAGAAGCCAGGATCTCCGGGCTTTCTCCCCGCACCTCTACATTCCCCCCCCTTCCTCATCGTTCGGTGGGAACTCATGGGGACCTCCCGTACCATCTTGTCGGCTCGTGCGAATCGACGCTAATCGACGCCAAATCGACGCGAAACGACGCTGCATCGACGCCAATCAACGATAATCGACGCGAACCGACGCTAAACCGGCGTTAACTCATCGATTCCCAGACACTAATCGACGCGCATCCGCGAATCCACATTATAAACTGAATTAAGAGTTTTACACCAGGCTCCCACGATTTGCTACCGACCCCCCCTTTCCTCATCGTCTCTCGCCCCTCTTCCTCCACGCTGACGCCGCCGATGCATCGCCGATGTCGCCGATGCATCGCCGATGTATGCATCGGCGATGCGGCGCGATCCTCCGACCCCATCTACTCCGAACCCATCTCGGAGGCCTAGGGTCCTCTCCCCGCACCTCTGCATTCCTCCCCCCCTCTTCCTCATCGTCTCCCACCTACCGACGCCAAATCAGCGCTACCTCATCGACTCCCAGACGCTCATCGACGCGAATCGACGCTAAGAGGGTACACCAGGCTCCCATGATCTGCTACCGAATCCCCCCCCCTTCCCCATGATCTCTCGTCCTGTGAACGGAGATTGCGAACCGAAGGGTCGAACCTTCCGTCGAATCCGTCGGTAGAGGATTGAGGCGCGAGAGTGTGAGAGTGCCCTCTGCCCCCCTCGCAGCCCGATGGCAGCCGGGCCCGCTCTCCGAGTGCCCGAGCCAGGAGGATTCCAGGATGGACGGGCAGGGAAGGGGGAGCTGAGCGGTCCTCACACACACACGCACACACACACACACACACACGCACACACACACACGCACACACGCACACACGCACACACACACACACACACACACACACACACACACGCACACACACGTCCCCCCCTCCTCCCCGCCCACCGTCCGACGCCAGCAGCGCCTGCATCGCGAGGCCGCGCGCCGTCGCGTACGCGACGTCGCGCGCCAGCGTGGGGGCGTAGGCCTCTCCGGGGGCGGCGGCGGCGGCGGGCGGGAGCGAGCCCCGAGGGCCACTGGCCGGCGAGGCTCGGGGGGGGGGGGCGAGGAGGGGCGGGCCTTCGATGACTACCTACCAGGCCACCCCAACCCAACCCGAAGACCCGAATTTCGGGTTTGGAGGGGGGGGTAAGGGTTCCACACGTGTTTTGCCGATGTTGCCCGACCCCCCCCCCCAACTGGAGATCGAGGGTAAATCTGAGCCTTCGGGTTGGGTTGGGGTGGTTTGGTGGGTGGTAACCTTCTCAGAGGGCACGGAAGTGCCCGGGGCCTTCCGAGAAGTCTCCCGCCGAGCCTTCCCCGAAGACACGGCACGGGGGCATCCTCGGCAGGCGCGAGGCCCTCTGGGAGGTCCCGCGGCCGTCTGAGGGGGCCTGCTGCTTCTCGTGTCCCCCCCTCGCTTTCTGTTGCTCCCATCGTACTTGAGGACCACCTCCCAGAAATGATTTTCGAGCACCCGGAAAAGTGTCGAAAGGGTGTCGAGACAGTGTCGAAGCGGTGTCGGACGAGTGTCTCCCAGGGCCCGGCACGTGAGGACCCTCGAGGTTCGGTGGTGCTCGAAATTCTTTCGCGTGGTCAAGGCTAAGGCAAGTTGGAACATCATAACCCTCGCTGGCCGCGGAGAGATCCTGAAGGGGCCCTGGGACACACAAATAAATACACACAAATAAAAAGATTCTCATAGTTTCCCATATTTTCAGGGTTTTTGTCTCCCCCCCACTGACCCATATGTTCCTATATGTTCCTGGGAATCGACGATTCATTGTGTCTGTGCGTTTTTGCTCCCTCCTGAGATCCTGGCGAACCGATGTTTTCCAGCTGGGGCGTTCTTGCCCAGGCTCTCGGACCCCAGGACCCTCACAGATCTCGGACGGCCACAAGGGCTCCCAACTTCGCGCTTCGCGCTGCGCGAAGCGCGAAGTGCGAATAACTTCGCGCTCTCGCGCCACCCCCCCAAAGGGAGAAAAGGAGGACAAGGAGGAGGAGGAGAAGGAACGAGGACCGCGAAGCGCGAAGCGCGAATAACTTCGCACCCTCGTGGGAGCCCTATGCAACACGCAGCCCGTGGATTGCTGACACGGAGCTCGGCGCGCAGACTGCGAGCGCAGGTCCGGCGCGGTGCGCTCGCCCACAGCCACCGCCTGGGAACCGACGTCCCCCGGCGCCCCACAGCGGGCGGCGGAGGTGGACACATTTCGGCCCCTCGGAGGCCCGAATGCGTCCACATCCCCCGCCCGCCGAGGCCTCGAGAACTGACCCCCTCCAGGCGGTGGTCATGCATAATTTCCCGCCTCGGAAACACGTGGGCAAACACGTGCCTGTGTTCAGGACAGACGTTTTGAATACAGTACGTGCTGCGTTTCAGGACTGGCGAATCAGCGCGGCTGGGTCACAGATCGATCCGCCTCGGCAAGTGGCGTAGAAAGATGGGGTCTGGGGCTCCAGTCGTGATCGAACGGGTCCCGAGGGAAACTGGTCTGGAGCAGCCCGGGCGTGAGCTCCACACACGGGGGGAAGGAGGAGGAGGAGGGGGGGAAGGCGGAGGAGAAGGAGGAGGAGGAGAGGAGGAGGGCGAGGAGCAGGAGGAGGAGGAGGAGGGAGGAGGAGGAAGGAGGAGGAGGAGGAGGAGGAGGAGGGGGAGGGGGAGGGGGAGGAGGAGGAGGAGGAGGAGGAGGAGGAGGAGGAGGAGGAGGAGGAGGAGGAGGAGGAGGAGGA